AGTCTGGGCAACAGAGTGAGACTCCAACTCAAAAAAAAAAAAAAAAAAGTTAACCACTAAATTGTTTTTAAAGTTGTTTCTTCTTTTCAACTTTTCTTTCATGGTGATTTAATACCTAATTTGTTCTTGTTATGACTGCCCTTAGCCAAATATAAATACTTCCAATTATTTATACTATTGTCAATATCAGTGCCTTCTTCCCCAAGGTATCTTAGTCTTCTCTCAATTCGTTTTCTGTAAACAATTTAAACCTCCACAATTTTGTTATTAACTAGACTTAAGCTTTGAGTTATTAAGGCTATTTTTTTCTTTCCCTCACTCTTTTATTTTTTGCATTAATTCTAGGAATTTTTCCTATTTCTTCAGATATTTCTTTTTATGAAAGGGGACTCCCAAAAAACCAGAAATATCTTTTGGAGGGTGGGCCCCTTGTAGTACACTCAGAATTTTTTCCTCTGGATTAAACGACCAACCAAAGTTTTTATCTGGAAGTTTTGAGAAGGTTGCATCACAGTTCGCGGAAGAAGCATCCAAAGTTGTAGCAAACAGGTAACTGGTTCTTCCGCCATAACAACACACCTGCCAACTTATGACTCTTGTGCCCCACACTCCCTATCCACCCTATCTCACCCCGAGTGGCTTTTTTTCTTCTTCTTCTTTTTTGGTCCTGGATGAAGAAAAATTCTCAAAGGGAAACATTCTGCCAATGTGGAAGAGGTGGAACAAAAATGGCAGAACCACTAAAAGGCATCAAAATTGAAGAGTTCAAAAACTGTTTTGAGCAGTGGGAAAAGTGTCTCCATAGGTGTATTGCATCAAACAGGGAGAACTTTAAAGGTGACTGAAGTTTAAACATGTAAGAATAAATACAAAAATTTTTTTTTTTGCTCCCCACCCCGCTGTTCCCCTAATACAAATTTTTTTATAAATGAATTTGGAGTTTTTTGGGTGCCGCTTCATATATTTATGTCCTTCTCTTGAGGATTTCCTGTTCTATTTTTCTTGCTATTTAGCTTTTCTTTTCCATTTTAAATAGTTTTTCATTTACTTTGCCTTCCTTAATCTGATCGTCTGGATCACAAGTTCATTATCTGCTTGTACCGATCTTATTTTATTATTTATATCGTTATTGTAAGGTTTGCCAAAAAGGAGCACACACTATATTCAGGCAAAGGAGTTTATATTAAAGTAAAGCGCCTGGGCTGACACCAAAAGTGACATCAGCCCCAACTTGAAACAAGGAGAGTCTTTTATATGTGAGTAGGGTAAGGGGCCGGGAGTGGGAAATTTTCGGAAGCAATTGAGCTGGGGGCGGGGGGCTAGGGGTTAGGGACTCTGTGGAAAGTTGGAGGGGCCTTCCTTTCCCATCTCTGAGGTTAGAGCAGAACCTTCCTGTTTCTCAACGTTAAGACAGCCTGAGGGGGAGTTAGAGCAGGGCCTTCCTGCTTTGCAATGTTAAAACAGGTCTGAGGGGCAGTTCCTGTGTTGATTCGCTGGGAAGAGGTGGGGAGGGGTGAGTGGAGGCTGTAGCTCCCTTATAGTTGTATGTATTACAATTTGAATATTTTCCATATTCAAAACTTTCATTTTGTTCCTCCTTTAAAATATTTTTTTTAGTAGATACCTTTTCTTATCTCTCTATAGTTATACTTTTGATAAGTTGTTTTTCTACCCATTCCAACAATTCTGTTTCAGTTAGTACACATTGTTTAGTATAATGTATAAATTTTATGTTGTTTTATTCTTCAGATATACAGATTTTTTTTAAAAAGTTTTATTAAGAAGACAGGAAAACTCCTGGCAATGGAAGAGGTCCCAAAAGCTTGCCCATACAGATATTTTTAATGTAAAATTCCACAGTGACAGTAGTTATTTTTTCTGCTACAGTCAGTTAGGTCTTATTTGAGACCAAGCTTCAGTCTGTAGTTCTTCTGGAGAGTGTAAGGAAAGAATCAGAGGCAAGGCCCAGAACTGGAGGGTCTGGGACTGCAGTGGCCCGCTCCAGTTCACTTCCCCTCCACCAAGTCAGGAGTACATCTGTGAGTTCTCAAACTGTGCCAGCATTAGGAAGAGGTATTTTCTCTCTTTTTTTTTTTTTTTGATTTGGATTCTCACTCTGTCATCCAGACTGGAGTGCAGTGGCTGCTCCCGGCCTCTACCTGCTGGACTCCGGCGATCCTTCTGCCTCAGCCTTCCGAGTAGCCGGAATTACAGGCACACGCTACCACACCTGGCTAATTTTTTGATTTTATTGTAGAGATGAGGTCTCGCCTGCCCAGGCGGGTCTTGAACCCGCGGGCTTCAGGCAATCCACTCACCTCAGCCTCCCAAAGGCGCGGGATTACAGGCTGAGCCACGGAGCCCGGCTTGAAGAGGTATTTTCTGTACGTTGTTATTCACCCTCTGGGGTCTGAAGGAAAGGAGGTGAGGTTGTAAATCCTGGCACCTGTTCTTGTCCCCTCCTACCTGGCCTTTGTCCGGCTCTATCATTCCCCTGCCTACACCTGTGACCTAGTTAGAAAGGGGCTGTTGATCTTCTGGTGAAGAGGGATAGCAGAGACTGTGCCAGTTTCATTGCTTTGCTCCTTCATTCCCCATGAGCCTGTTGTTTCTCCGGAAATGATTTGAGAGAAAGCCAGTAGCCATCCTGCTTTCTCTGTATGTTCCAGTCAGACTTCCTTTCTTCTTGCTCATTTTAAACAGGGCAGTCTATTTTCAACACCCATCCTTTGTCATTGCAGTTCTCTACATCTAGAAGCTCTTCTCTCAGGTCTCTGGTGGTTGGTTCCTCCTTATTAATCTCAACTCACTTCAGATGTCACCTTTGCAGAAAGAACTTTCTTGTTACTATATAAAAACAGTCACTAGTCTAGGCACTGTATATTTTTCTGTTTATTTTTCAAAGCACTTAATATAGTCTACAACTGTCAAGAATATAGTGTCTCTTTCTACCAGAATGTAAGCTCTGAATGTGCGTTCCATTACTTTCTTACCACGGCAGCCTCACACTCTAGGAGAATGCCTAAAGCCTAAAGTGTAATACATTTTTGGGGATAAATGAACAAATGAATGAACTAAATAGCATAGATTGATTATCTTATTTTCACTCTATTTTTATGTTTAACTTCTTCCTAAACATATGAATAGTGGAGTATGTTCTACTTTTTTATTTTAACTTTTTTCCGTTTTCATACCCTTCTAAGGGAATTTCTCAACCTGATCTTCTGCATCCTACTTTTTTTTTTTTTGAGTGTGAGTCTCACTCTGTCACCCACACTGGAGTGCAATGGCACGCTCACGGTCACCATAGTCTCAACTTGCTGGGTTCAGGCAATCCTTTCACCTCGGCCTTCCAAGTAGCTGAAACCTCAGGCATGGGCCACAGTACCCAGCTAATTTTTTTATTTATTGTAGAAACAAGGTCTCACCAAGTTGCCCAGGCTGATCTCAAACTCCTGGGCTCAGGCAATCCTTTCACTTCTGCCTACCGAAATGCTGGGATTACAGATGTGAGCCACCGTGCCTGGCTGCATCCTACTTTCATTCTTTATATTTTGTGACATCCTGGTTCATCATAGGTCTATATTCTGTGTTCCATACATATCATTGAAATATTTTTATTATGACAATGGTGACATCAAAATTTTAATTTTTGAATATGATGTCCTAAAGAAAAATTCTCCAGTTTTATTCTTTGGTTTTAGATAAAAGTTAAAGTCACGTTAACTTTTTATCTTTTTTAGCTAGCTTATGTCACAATAATGAGTTGCCAAACTGTGTTTCATAAGTATTCATTAGATTCTTAGCACAAATCTGGGAAGTGAGGAGGGTGTGAATTTCCATTTTTCAGATGAGGAAAGTAAGGTTCAAAGAGGTAAAGTGAGTGGGTGGTGGATCTGAGATTTGAACACGAGTCTTCTTTATTACCTGACGTATTTGTTGTTCTCAGTCTACAGGTTTGTTCTTAAGTATAGATCGTAATTATTAGAGTAGAGATTTGGGGGTTTCTCTTGTCATTCCTAAAAATTGTTTAGTTTTCTTGGCTTGATTGTCAGTAAAGAAAACATTTAAAATAACAACAGCAACAACAAGAACAATAAGTTATGAGGAGAGCGGGGCTCGGTGTCTCAGCCTGTAATCCCGCACCTTTGGGAGGCTGAGGTGAGTGGATTGCCTGAGCCCGTGGGTTCGAGACCCGCCTGGGCAGCAAGACCTCATCTCTATAATAAATAAAAAAATCAGCCGGGCGTGGTAGCGCACGCCTGTAGTTCTGGCTACTTGGAAGGCTGAGGCGGAAGGATCGCCGGAGCCCAGCAGGTCGAGGCTGCGGTGGCCGGGAGCAGCCACTGCACTCCAGTTTGAGCGACAGAGTGAGACTCCAACTCAAAAAAAAAAAAAAAAAAAGTTATGAGGAGGTAGGCACTGTTGCAGGTGGTATACATGAATTAACACATTCAAATTTCTTTATAGTACTGAGAAACTGATGAAATTATACACATTTGCAAATGAAGACACTAAAGCATAACGGTTAGTTAAATAGCTCGTCCAAATTACATAGCTTAAGTGGCAGAGTTAGAATTATGAACCCAGCAGTCTGGCTTTTAGTTACTGTCCTAACCTATAATTCTATAAACTTTATTATAGTTTATAGTTTGCAGAGAGGTTTCAGATCTGTCATCTACTGGGCCTCACAATTACTTTGTGGAGAAGGCAGGCAAGATTTGTCTGACAAACAGGATGCTAAGGTTCAGAGAGGCTGCATGGCCTACCTTAGACAGAAAGAAAGCAAGTGCCCTGAGATCATACTAAAAACCTTTCTTTTGAAATCCATTTGTATGTCTGTTTTATTGCCCATGATTTTATTGGCTCACAATGGTCTCCATGATGTGCTTTTCTTCTCCAGCATGTTATGTTACTGTGGGCTTAAATGTTAATCTATTTATGTATCTAAGGAATATTTTATCCCATCTTTTGATGTGCCTTGATCATGTCCTTTGCAGCTGAACTGTGAAGGTTTCAGGAAAGAAGAAAGAGATGGAGATTTTATCTGTACCCCTGATAACACAGCTGTTTGCGGCACAGATGGGAAAACATACAGCAGCAGATGTGCCCTATGTGCCGAGAACGCGTGAGTATCCTCTGAAGCAAGCTTCTCCCTGCAGCACATGCAGTGCACAATTACAGACACACAGTATGGAGTCTTTAAGGTAGTCCATGTTTGTGGGAGTTAGCCATTCATAAACTATTAATACCATTTCTTTACTACTTCTATGACAAAAAATGTGTGCAGTGTTAGTAACAATTTATATTTCACAAAGCATTTTTATGTGCAATATGCCAAATAGTCATCACTGTCTCTATAAAGTAGAGAGAATGGAAAAATTATACACACACACACACACACACACACACACACACATATGTAGACACACAGATATATATGTATATATGTACATATATCATATACATACATCTATATACACATGCACACGTCTGTCTTCTATCATCTATTTTTTGTTTATCTTAGTATATCTCTTTCACAGAGAATGATTTTATCATCAAATGATATTTATTAAGTGCTCAATAATTTATCCTATTGAGAAAGGTAATCGGAACTCTGAATATTGAACTTCCTCCCATATCTTCAAGCTTTGCCAAATGGCTAAAGCTTCTCACTGTCCTACATCTTGTCTTTACTTTGTCTTTTCTCCACCCTCAGAGCTAGGTTTGGTTATCAATTGTCTTCACCAACAAGGCGACATACTTGCTTTGCAGGTTCTGGCTCATGACCTCAATCTTGAATTGTCCGCTCTTCAGTTTTTGCAAATATAATAACCAATGTTTGAGAAGGCTAGTAAGGCATATAATAAATATTCATTCTGTCAGCTTTATCTCTCCCTGTAATAAGTATCTCATCAAAATAAAACTGCATTAAATCACTCTGATCTTTCGCATGACTGCATTTTCAGAAATTCACTTTAAAATTATATCTTTATTTATTTATTTATTTATTTTGTGAGTTGGAGTCTCACTCTGTCACCCAGACTGGAGTGCAGTGGCCGCTCCTGGCCACCGCAGCCTCGACCTGCTGGGCTCCGGCGATCCTTCCATCTCAGCCTTCCAAGCAGCAGGAACTACAGGCGTGCGCTACCACACCCGACTAAATTTTTTGATTTTTTGTAGAGATGAGGTCTCGCCTGCCCAGGCGGGTCTCAAACCTGCGGGCTCAGGCAATCCACTCACCTCAGCCTCCCAAAGTGCGGGATTACAGGCTGAGCCACCGAGCCCGGTTTAAAATTATATCTTTAAGTCTCACCAAAGATTAACACACAGAAACAGAAAGCAAAAATAGACATACAAAGAACATAAATGTTTTTATTAGATACATATGTTGTAACAACTCTGAGTACACTGTATGTTTCATTCTTACTAGGTCCTATATAGGGATCCTTAAATCTCTGGCCTGGGTGAAAGCTCCTCTCCCTTGAATCCTAGTGTCTTTCTTTTTACTACACAGTAAGAATTCTACTGTTGCTCATATTTCTTTTCCAGCAGCTCTGGCTATTAGGGGACTCCACAATAATATTGAAATTTAATTTGTGTAGTTTCTCTCAACTGATATTCTTTGAAATAACTATTTTCTTGTCACTCTTAAACATTTTTTTCTTTACGTTGTTTCTATTGTATTTTTATTGCTACACTGATTCTATCATTGTAAGCTGCCTTATCCTTATTGAAAGTATGAAGTATCTCTTATACTTATGGTTCTGTGCTTTCAGACATACTTTAAAGCTCTCTAAGACTGCACAGAGTTAATTATCAGGCTTTTATATATACTTTCTATGAAAAGTAAAATACTAGCAACATAACCCAAATAAAGAGTAATATAGTGGGATGCTAGGTAACACAAACTTGAATTATGTATATATTTAAAACAACAAAAGCAACAACAAGTTCCTTGGGGGTCTCTAATGTCTAGTTACAAGCTCTACTCTTCCCATTTTCTGATGTGAATCCCCAATCCTAATCAGGGGCAAAAATATTTTTGGAAATAATAGTAACAAGTCTGAATCTTATCACTCCTCCTATGTGACACCATTTTTTTTTACTTCAAGCTATAAATATAGGCTCTTGTTAGAAAAAGTAAATAAGGAGAAGAGTACTATGTGACACCTGTTTTCTAGAGAAAAGGAGGCTCACAACACTGTAGAGAGAAGTCAGGTCTGAATGGGGGACGTTCTGTGATATTAAACTGCTATGTCTACCAACTTTGGATTCCAGGAAATCCAGGTCCCAGATTGGTGTGAAAAGTGAAGGAGCTTGTGAGAGCAATCATCTGGACCAGGTGAGGCTGCTTCCAGAGAAGCAGACATCTCCTCTTTCCTCATGAGTGGGAGGCTTGGGACGGAGAATTCTTGCTTTACTAGAAATGGAATACTGAATGCTGCCTATTAATAAGAAAAATCAAGTGATAGTCCCTGAAATTGTAGTAGATTACTTTGGTGATTAGGCCTTTCAGCTCTATTGCTGCTTTCTATTAAAAAAAAAAAAAAAAAAAGCCGGGCTCGGTGGCGCAGCCTTTAATCCCGCGCCTTTGGGAGGCTGAGGTGAGTGGATTGCCTGTGCCCACGGGTTCGAGATCCGCCTGGGCAGCGAGACCTCATCTCTACAATAAGTCAAAAAAAGCCAGGCGTGGTAGTGCACGCCTGTATTTCTGGATACTCGGAAGGCTGAGGCGGAAGATTCGGCGGAGCCCAGCAGGTCGAGGCTGCGGTGGCCGGGAGCGGCCACTGCACTCCAGTCTGGACAACAGAGTGAGACTGCAACTCAAAAAAAAAAAAAAAAAAAAAGTGAGTTGAGACCTTAGCATTATCACTTGTTGTCAGGAGGTCTTGGGCAAATTACTTAACATGAGATTCAGACCAAATAATTTTTTCTATGCTGAAATTCTGTGATCCTCTGATGGTAGGGAAGGAGAGGAAGGGAAAGAAGAAAGTGTCTCATTCACATCACATCTGACTTTTTTCTGGCTAGATTACTTTTCTAATTCTCAAAGTGTGCTGCCCTTTCTAATGTTCCTAGAGCAGCTGAGGTCACCTCTACCAAGTTACTCAGCACGTACTATCTTAAATGTTATCACCCAGGAGACTGAGCAAGCGGAGGGCAAAAACTGGGCTCTTCCTACGGTCTAGCACATATTAAGTTAACAATGTCTACTGAATAAATGAATAACTCATGCACTCTATGCTTACCTTGAATTATCTAATATTACTGAGCTTCTACTTGGCGGGCACTGCCCTAGGTGACCTGTCAAGACAAGGCTCTGAGTTCTATACAATTTCTGAAAACAGTTGTGTTACAATCAGGATGTGAATGTCAAATTCCCTTCCTTGTTCTTCAGGATGTATGCAGTGCTTTCCGGCCCTATGTAAAGGATGGGAGACTTGGATGTACAAGGGAAAACGACCCTGTTCTTGGTCCTGATGGGAAGACGCATGGCAACAAGTGTGCAATGTGTGCGGAGTTGTTGTACGTATCCTCCCAGCCGCCTGGATGAGGAGAGCTGAGAGTCACCCAAGGGGTTGAGGCCCTCCTGGACCAGGATGGTTGGAAGTCACCTGGGAGGATGAGGCCCTCCTGGGAGGGAAGCATGCCATCCTTTGTCTTTATCATGCAAATAGCCCTTTCTCCCAGAATGACTTCTTTTCCTTTTTTTTTTTTTTTGAGTTGGAGTCTCACTCTGTCACCCAGACTGGAGTGCAGTGGCCGCTCCCAGCCACCACAGCCTCAACCTGCTGGACTCCCGGCAATCCTTCCACCTCAGCTTTCCAAGTAGCTGGAACTACGGGTGCGTGCTACCACATCCAGCTAATTTTTTGATTTATTGTAGAGATGAGGTCTCGCCAAGTTGTCCAGGCGGGTCTTGAACCCGCGGGCTCAGACAATCCACTCACCTCAGCCTCCCAAAGGCGTTTTTCTTTTTCTTTATATCATCTACTGAAGTTTCCTACAAGGAGAGGATAAGGTGTTACTAAATTCAAGATGCTTATTTCTCTTCAATTACAATGAAAATGCATAGTTGTTTTACAAGGCATAATAAAATTCAGAAAGCACTTTTATCTAGAGTAATTTAGGCCAGTCATTCGACATGCATTGCTTCATTTGGACATGTGTGGAGACCCTTACACAATAATGAGAATCTAATTAATGTAATAATAGTAATAATGTCAGGCATCTGAATTCATTATTAGTGTGAAAGGTGGAATGTTTTGAAGGGGACAAACTATTGGATTAATCTTTCTCTGAGTGCCTGGAAGTGCTCTGGCCATGGACACTCAAATGTGATTGGGTTCCAATTAATCTTTCATATCCTGACTGTTAATCAAGGAATAGACTCTATTCTGTGTGTCAGCAAGCCTTAAAGTGCTGTGTTTATATCACTGAATCTTTAAACTCAGGACAAAGATTTAACAGATTAAGAAATTTAACTTCACACCTGCCTTTAAAAATTACAGTTAGCGGCCCGGCTCGGTGGCTCAGCCTGTAATCCCAGCACTTTGGGAGGCCAAGGTGAGTGAATTGCCTGAGCCCGTGGGTTTGAGAACCGCCTGGGCAACTTGACGAGATCTCATCTCTACAATAAATCAAAAATTAGCTGGGCGTGGTAGCACATGCCTGTAATTCCAGCTACTGGGAAGGCTGAGGCAGAAGGATCGCCAGAGCCCAGCAGGTCGAGGCTGTGGTGGCCGGGAGCAGCCACTGCACTCCCGTCTGGGTGACAGAGTGAGACTCCAACTCAAAAAAAAAAAAAAAAATTACAGTTAGCATTTGTAGAATTCAAGGACATGTCCCATCAGGTTCCCAAAACAGCGATTATAACTGGTTTCCAGACAGGAAATCAGCTTGATTTCCTCTTATCTAGGAGACATGTGCTTTCAGTGTTCAAACCTGCTCTGATTTCGTGGTTTTGTCTCTTCATGCGCTAGCTAGAAAGGAGAATTTGACCTAACTCCTGGTTTCTTCCTCTGTAGTACTGAGACGGACACTCCTATCTCCAGGATGGAACTATAATCTGATAATAGATGTGAAAGGGTTTAGAAACTCAATTCAAATGTAGCTTTCATTAACAACCATGGTTTTACATGAAGGCAAACAAATACTTCACAAGGTATACAAAGTTTTACTTAAGGGCGTGGATGGCAATACCTCAAATGCTTGGTTTGGTTTCACCCTTGTCACAACCTTGTTTTAAAGCTCTTGGTTCTGCCTGCTAAAGGGAATTTTCCTGACAATCTTCTGTTTGTCAATCAAAGTGTCACACCCATCCAGTTTTACAGAACAAAGCTTCTAATTGACTGCTAGTGAGTCAGTTTCACACCCTTCCTTATCTTTGGCAATTTTGCTGGCTCCGGCATTAAAGACAGGGAAATGCTTGTCTCTTGTTAGTGAATCTGTTTCAACAAGTTATGGCTGAGGATATGAAAGTATTTAGCACAGGATTAGACACTGGACATATGAGCTTTAAACTGACCAACTGTTTACCTTCTGAACAGTTTAAAAGAAGTTGAAGAAAATGCCAAGCAAGGAGATCAAACCAGAATTCGACGAAACACTGAAAAGGTAAATGACTTACTAACACAATTTGGTTCTTGTGGCCATAAATATTAATAAACTTATGCCTGAGCCTTTAAAGTAATTCAGTAAAGTCATTACCCCTTATTATCACATGGATTTTTTTCTTAATATAAAAATTCTCCAAATTGACTATTTCTAGAATTATTAGATTCAGATTTCAAGCAATGTTTTCCACTTAAGGCTCAAGGTGTACCATTTCCACCCTGGCTTCCTCATTCTCCCTGCTCCCTCAGAAGAAGATATAAGACAGAGTTTATGCAAACCAAATTCTGCTTAATTTCCACCACCCATCTCTCTGGTTTGTAATAAGCCTATTTTATTTTGAATAAAATTTTTAAAAATTGCAACATAATATTAATTAAACAGAAAAAACTTTAAAATAATCCCAGAGTCTTTTAAGAAGTATATCCTCTGGTGCATTTTATGTATAATTTCATTGACACAAGTTGGAGTTATTCAGTTTTCCATTATGATTACTACATTCAGTGTGACTTGTATTTGTAAAGATCTTGTGACTTTGTAGGTGAAAATCTCAGACAAATATTAAGATTGTATTTTTTTAAGTACCCTTAAAATTTTTTACAAATAATTTAATTTTTCAGACTAGTATCTTTATTTCTTTTGCTAATTGAGTGAGCATTGTAGGTAATGTAGCCTGGATTTCTTAAAGCACCTACTGTCTTTTTTGTGTGTGAGTAAGCAGGATTTATTGAGAGGACAGAGACGCTCCTACAGTGATCCAAAGGAGTTGCCCATCTCCGTGGTCTAAACCTGAAACCACCTACTTTATTTATTTATTTATTTATTTTTGAGTTGGAGTCTCACTCGGTTGCCCAGACTGGAGTGCAGTGGCCGCTCCCGGCCACTGCAGCCTCGACCTGCTGGGCTCCGGTGATCCTTCTGCCTCAGCCTTCCGAGTAGCCGGAATTACAGGCATGCGCTACCATGCCCGACTGATTTTTTTGATTTATTGTAGAGATGAGGTCTCTCTGCCCAGGCGGGTCTCGAACCCGCGGGCTCAGGCAATCCACTCACCTCAGCCTCCCAAAGGCGCGACCACCTACTTTCAATGAGAGGAATAACAGTGATTTTGCTAAATGGCTAACCTTTTGTTGAAAAGTCAGAACACCTGAGTTTTAGCCTTAGTTCTGTCATGTTCAGGGTGTGTGAGACTTAGCAAATTCATCTGCACTCTGGGCCTTTATTTTCTTGTCAGCCAAATAAGGAGGCTGGATAAATGACCTCAATTTTACCTTTCTTCTTTTGTGCTAATGCAAGTATATGATGTTTGCAGATTGTAGGGCATATGTTTTCCCATAGGAAGATACAGGCCCAGCTTTTGGTGGGGAAGAGCTGCCCCTTCAATTCATAATGCTGTTTAGTGAAGCAAAGCTCCCACCCTAATTAGGGTGTTCAGAATTTACATGTAGAAAAACGGAATACTCAGAACTATCTATAGTTTGCTCAATGCTCAAAAAGCAAATTCTTTTGTGGTAGTTGCTAAATTTCAGTCTAAAACTTTGGGTCATCATGTGGTATTTAGCATTTAATTACTCCATAAACACAGAGAGTTATTTTCTTTTGTTTTTCATCAGGTCTTGCTACACTTCCCCCTTCCTCTCTGAGGCTGGGCTATTGTTCTGGTGGGGTCATTGGGCATGATGGTGTTGAATAGGATGCTGTCTAATGATGGCTCAATATGTTCCCATAATTAACCTGTCAGTGCATTGCTCACAGCAGTGTTTCTTCAGAATCTCGTCAGATGAATCACAACTTATAAACTGAAATTATCATTGTTTCTCTTATGGGAATCATTGAGCATTAATTGTATTACCACGCTATGATTATAAAGTGACAGTCTTCTGTGTCTCTGTTTCTAGATTGTTACAACCAGGAAGTTTGAAGCATACCCATTATTCTTCCAAAACCAAATGTCTCATTAGACGGCAATTAGGATTCTCTTTTAAAGCATTCCAATGAAATTTGAATTAAAAAAAAAATCAGGGAATACTAGATCTAGGCAAGGTCTCACAGAGCATCTGTTCCAAAAACGTCATTGTGGAAGTGGTAAGATTGAGGTTCCAAAGGGAATGGGACTTGGCTCTGGTATCCCAGTGAAAGGCACGATCCAGTCGCCCAGGTCTCCTGAGTCCCAACCATACTCTTCAAGCTGTTTTCTGGGCTGAAACGGGATAATGAACGTCACACAGTTGAAAAGAAGGTTGTAGAGCAGAATTTTTTGTAAGTCATAATTACAGTAATATATGCCATCACAAAATATGTTTAATGACATAGAGATACCCAAGCCTAGAGTAACTTGGAGTATATTTTTTAAGCTTTGTCCTCACCTTGAATAGTAGAACTTCCAAAAAAGAAAAACCTGGAAGTATTGAATCAAATCATCAGGAAATCTGAGAACAAATCTTTCTTGAATTTTTTTTTTTAGGGGGAAGTCACACTCTTTTTAAGTTTTCTAATTCAATATCAGTCTTGATGGTCTACTCCTGTAAGATGAGAATAAAAGAAAATTAGATTCACTCTCTCTGAGGTTTCTACCTACAATGTCAGAAATGATCATGAATAAAGGAGGTAGAATACACAAAAATTATCCACAGAGAAAACCAACTAAAGTAAGCATGATACTGTTGGATACCGTCTTGTTCCTTTTCCCCTGTAAATTAAGTTGGATTGCTCTTGACTTGATCTATATTAAGTAACTTTTAAACATCTCATCTCATGTATATTTTTTTCTTTTTTTTTTTTTTTTTTGTCTTGGCTGCTACATTTTGTTGTGTTTGTGTCAGAACCTCATGAAAAATCTCTTCCCTGCCTTCCTCACCATGGATTTGGAATTTAAAAATAACTATCTAGTTTCCGTTTCAGGAATTACTTTCTCAGCCTTATTCTTTCGTACGCTCTTTTGCCTTTTAATAAATGTGCTGCAGAGCAGATGCAAATGCCACGTTGTTGGACAATATAGTTACTGTTTCTTATTAATTCTCATTAATATGTTGTATGCATTTACCAGTTCTTTTAGACCTGACATTTTATGATTATAAAATTTTATCTATCATAAAGTTTCTGGATTAAAGAGTAGGAAAATGGTAAATATAATTACTGGTCTTTATAAAGGATTTTTGCAAGGAATATGAAAATCAAGCGAGGAATGGAAGACTTTACTGCACACGAGAGAATGACCCAGTTCGAGGCCCTGATGGCCGGATGCATGGCAACAAATGTGCCCTGTGTGCGGAGATTTTGTGAGTATAGGAGCCATTTCTCAGAGTGACTCAAAACATGGAAGTAGAAGCTGATTGGAATGATGAGTAAGAACAATGTTGAGAGGGAGTTTTGTTGTTGAGGACTATTTGGGCAGTTTCAATTCTCTCCACAAATCATACTTCACCTAGTAAGTAGGCTCTAATGATGTGTATTTATCTGAGTACAAATGGATTCCATTTTCCAATTAGGAGACAGGCTTAAAACACCTTTTAGCTTATCCATTCTCCCTGTCCAGTGTTGTGAGTCCCTTTTTGGAGTAATTGTAGCACAGAATGGGGCAAAACAGGTGTCAGGGCTGATTGTTTTCTTCAGGCATTATCTCATGGTTGCAGAGTTGATGGGACACCCTCAGAAAATTCATGCTTGCATGTTAATTGGATTACTCTGATCATTTTTACTTTTTTTTTTTTTGAATTGGAGTCTCACTCTGTCACCCAGACTGCAGTGCAGTGGCCGCTCCCGGCCACCGCATCCTCGACCTGCTGGGCTCCGG